AGGGGTCGATCATACACGGTTGTAGTTAATCAATTAAAGCGTGAATGTTGGGGGGCCCCTAGAACGGTGAGCGCGTAAAGGAGTTGGAAGCGAGACTCTGTTAGCAACAGGGTGTGGGATTCAACGAAGCACCCCTGACATCCCCTGACCCATCAGCCATATTCTCCAACTCATACATACAAATATATATATATTTATATATATAGTCCCCCACCTGTCAGGTGAGGATTGCTAGATTTTATGTCATACCCTCCGCTTTTGTATGCCTTGAGTCGGAGTAAGCATTTCTGACATCATACGGACTGTACATACACTAGGGCGTCCGTAGTGTAGGAGAAGCACGGGTAAAAGGTATATGGAATAGAGTGTCTTGAGGAAATAGCCGGTGTATGGTTATTGCAAATCTGGGGGGTAAATTTACCCCCCGCTTATGTATGCCTTGCGCTGGAAAGAGGGGTAAGCATTTCTGGCATCACAAGGACTGTGCATACACTAGGGCGTCCGTAGTGTAGGATAAGCACGGGTAAAAGGTAGAAGGAGTAGAGTGTCTTGAGGAAATAGCCGGCTTATGGTTATGGCAAATCTGGGGGGTAAATTTACCCCCCGCTTATGTATGCCTTGAGCCGGAACGAGGGGTAAGCATCACAAGGACTGTGCATACACTAGGGCGTCCGTAGTGTAGGATAAGCACTGGTAAAAGGTATCAAGAATAGAGTGTCTTGAGGAAATAGCCGGTGTATGGTTATAGCAAGCCTGGGGGGTAAATTTACCACCCGCTTATGCATGCATTAGGTTAGAAATAGGGATAAACAACTTGTAACGGTGAAGTACAAGTCCTATGCAGCAAGCAGCAGCCAGCAGCAGCAGCAGCAGCAGCTGCCGCCTGCAGCCAGCAGCAACCACCAACCAGCAGCCAGCCAGCAGCACCACGCAGCAGCAGCGCAGCATCAAGCCGCAGCAGCAGCAGCACCACCGGCAGCAAGCACCACCGGCAGCAAGCAGCAAGCAGCAGCAGCAAGCAGCAGTAGCAGCGGCGTCGTCAGCAACAGCAGCAGCAGCACCAAGCCGCAACAAGTAGCAAAGCAGCAGCTACAAAAGCGGCAACCAGCGGCAGCAGCAAACAGCAGCAGCAAGCAGCAGAGCGGCAGCAGCAGCAGCAGCACCCTTTACACCAAGCCACCGTTACACCCAACCAACCACGTTCACACGTTCAACCAACCCCCTACACGGCGCAGCTGGGAGTTGAACCGCGGGGGGGGGGTAGCTTGATATATCAATCTTTAAGGCACGCAGCCCCTCCCACCACAACATTGCTAAAGCAAAGAAGAACTCAGCTAGCATGCTAGCTTTCGTGACATGCTTAAACTTGAGGCCAGAGGGGGTGAACGAAAGCTAGCCGGGCTTCCGGTGGTCTGCTGCTGGTGCTGCGGCTGCTGGTGCTGCTGCTGCCGCTGCTGCGCTGGGCGCTGCTGCGCTGGGTGCTCTGCAGGCGCCGGGTCGTCTGCTGCTGCTGCTGCTGCTGGCGCTGGGTGGTCTGCTGCGGCTGCTGCTGCCGCGGCGTTGGGTATGCTGCTGCTGCTGCTGCTGCCGCCGCTGGGTGGTCTGCTGCTGCTGCTGGTGCTGCTGCTACTGCCGCTGCCGCTGCTGCGCTGGGCGCTGCAGATGCTTGGTGTGCTGCAGCTGCTTGGTGGTCCCGCTCACCGCGCGCAGGGGGGAGTCGAACCGCGGGGGGGGGGGGGGGTCCATAAGATTGATTTAATCAATTATTTGAGGTTTCTGAGGTGCGTCCACCCCGTCACTTAACTTGCTAAAGCAAGAGCAACTCCAGCTAGCTAAGGCTAGCTTTCGTGATCAAACTAACGGACCCAACAAAAGGGGCTGAGTCTGCACTATTCACTTTTTGGCATCACTCGCATCACCAAGGCCTTTATATAAAAACCTTACATTTCGACTACATCCGGCCCGCCCTTTTTCTTCGCTCTCCTCTACCAGGCCCTGGGTTCACGCACCCGCCAGGTCCAACCTCGCAACCACCCCCCCACACCCCCTAATGCACACTTCGTTCGCCCATCAATCACTCCAGCTTAGCCTATCGGGTGGCTGCTAGCGTTCGTAAAGTACAAGTAGTTGATTATTGTCATAGTTGCAATATCTAGCTCCGATCTCAAAAATATTGCAGCTGTTGTTGTTCATGCGATCCTGGCTTCCTGTTTGGAAGGGTGCGCCAACTGCTAGTTTGGTATACTAAGTAGGCAGCTGGAAAACGACTCCAAAAGTCCCTTTCCAACGCTGATATGGATGCAGTGAACACCAAGGAAGCCACACGATAAATCTAAACGTGAAAGGAAAGTGTCTGTGCAAAGACATTGTATACTACGAGTAATATAGTATAATAAAGTATAGTAATATGTTTCAACATGCTGCCCAACCGCCTGAGCCAAATTAAATTCGAACAAGCGCAGGAGAATCCACCACCAGCGTATCATCCATCGATCATTTTGATCAAATCGCGGAGATATTCTATAAAATGATTAAAATGCATGATTAGATTTTGGCAGCACATGAGAGCTCAATCATGCGCAAATGGTCTTGGCCACCGATACTTGCAAACAGAATGAGTTAATGCCAAAATCTTGTCCTGCAGATGGGAACTGCGGGCCATCTTGTCGTTGGACGCGCATGAGACTTTGTTCGGCCTGGTGTGCCCAGCAGAGAACCATGACCCAGCTACAAAATGTTTCAAGTTGAGGTGAGCGGTTTCAGTCAGATGCGGCGCAAGTTGCTACGGTACGGAGGATGACTCGCAACAACTATTGAGTTCTTTGAGATGCATTCCCGGTGGCCTTGGAGCCACCCACTGCAGGATTTATATATACAAAAGTGTGACGCAGCGTGTGGAGAGGTTGTTTGAAGAACAATGAATGAGGCAGTGAGGCCACTCCTGCATTCTACTGTATGTCTCAGCTGTATTGCATTCGTTGGGAATTCTTCACCCGGTTACCGTAGTTGTTTGGGTATCTGATGGTTTGCTTCATATCCCTTCAGCATGTTGAGCCCAAAACCCAAGGCCTTCTCCGAAACGGGCGTCTCCATTACAGTTACAGCCAACATCTTTGAACACCGCCACCTTTCCCCCTTACACGCTTTTGCTAAAGAAGGTAGAACTGAGGTGACAAAGTGGCAAACGGGCATCAGAAAGCACCGGAAACTGCAGTTAGTGCGAGCTGAGTTGTGTGAGTTGCGATGCCCTGGAGAACGCCGAACGCGGAGTAAGCACGGTAAAAACAAGAACCCCACGAAGGAAATCACACCTCTGCGCCACAAGAACCCTCCCCTTCAACAACACTCCATTCCCCGCATGATAAGAGTTCAGGCTGCGGAGCAAGGAGTGGTCCTAAATTATCCATCATTGATGATGACATAGATGAATCATGTGCCCATACAAGGCTAATGTCAAGCGGCTCGTGGGTGTATGGGAAATCGGTATAGTCAGCCACGGGGTCATACTCGTCGCCATCGTGTGTGATGCACGAACCACCAGTTTCATAAAAATTGCCCGTTGTGTCAGACCAACGGCCTGCCCAGGGCACAAGACTGTAGAATCTGAAACTTAGAACTGTAGCCTGTCGCCCGTAGCCTATCAGTGAAATCAACTCGATGGACCCTTGGCAGTGTCTAAACTTGACCAGCCTTCAACTCCAGCAGGAATTACCAAAGAGGAATCTCCGTTCAAATCAAGTGCGTTCCGGATTTGCACGGTGCGGGTATAGTCTGGCGCACCCGGGCAACTGTATGTAACCACTTGCTCTGTGGGCGTCTTGGTGGCATCGAGAGCTCTGATATAAAACAATAAAAGAACTTACTTTACTTCGAGCGACCCCCACCATTACGTGTCAATCTGACCATTTTCCTAACATTCATGTATTGAAACACCACTTCAACATTCTTTCTGGCACCTCTTCTGACATTCATTCCCTATCTGGCATAGCTTTTGACATTCTTTCCGGCATATCTTCGGCGTATCTTCTGACATTCTATCTGGCACTCTATCTGACATTCTTATCTAGTGGTTGAGGTCCGGTGGTGCCCACTGGGCTCGGACCCTGCCGGTTGAGGTCCAGCAATGCCCACTATGCTCGGGAGCTGGCGGTTGAGGTCCGGTAGTGTCCACTTGTGGTTGAGGTGCAGCAGTGCCCACTGCAATCAAGAGTTGGCGAGGAGATGGCGAGGAGGAGGAGAAGGAGAAGAAGATGAAGGAGGAGTAGAGTCGAGCTCAAATAAAAACTAACAACCCTCACCTGGCAGGTGGGGAACTAATTCAAATCAAACTTAAGGTGTCTAATGAAAAGACCTTTCGACGGCCTTCTTCGATAAAAAAATGCATGTTTTTACTGAGGAATTCACTGTAAGTGGTAGTTATCTATCTAAATAACTAGATTCTTGCAATTCTATACCCGAAGAGGTGCCCAAGAGAAAGACTCTCAAACAAGTAATATGATTAACCTCGACATTTCTAGCACAAGGAAAAACTAGAGCGGTACTTTGCAGGCCAGAATCCAGAGCGGAGAAGGTCGCTGGATTCATTGTGATGCTCTGGCTTGTTCCTGAGGTCAAACTTCCGTGTTTGGAAAATATTGGAAGTCAACACCAACGGTCATCAACGTGCACATACATAATTCTATGCACAGGTCTAATTATATAATTATATAATCCTTTATCGGCGATTTATCGGTGTTGCGCATTTATAAATAAATAGCGGTTACATACATATTCTACCTGTTTGTGATTGTTTGTGTGCTAAGTCGTAAAGTCAGTCAAAAGGCCCGTGGAATCAATGCAATCAGCTAAGACATCTGTCCGGCACAGCTCATTGTCATCAACAACGTAGCCACAGGGACAGTACGCATCAGTGCTGCTACCTAAGCTTGATCGAAGTACGAATACTGCGCGCGCTTGATCTGCCACACTGCTTCACCTGCTTCCCATCTTTTCATTCGGTCTTAGGGCATGCCTGTTTCCATCCTGACGAGCACCAGCGAGCCAAAAGAAAGATTCTGTGCTTGCTTGAGCCACGCCCCCTGTTTTGCGGCAAAGCTACTAGTCGACTGGCACACCATCATGGCGACTCGCGCAGCAACCACATTCTCAAAGGTCTGTGCCGTGATTCGCCTTGAGAGTTACAAAACCGGGAACCTAGATAACACAAAGCCGAACAAAGGCCACAAGTTCGCAAGAGCACAAAACCAGGAGCACTTTCCTTACAAAATGGGGCATGTCACCAGTACCTCGCTTCCACAACTGCGTCCAGCATGTTCTCCACCTCAGAGCTCTGGTCCTCATTCCCTGGAAAGGTAGTCGAAAGCTCCACCCAATCTGAGCTAGTATTTGTCTTGTACGAGACCGTGAAGGTCTTGATCCAGGCTTCCTCGATGGAATGGCCTTTTGTGATAACTCCTGTCAATGGTGGTAAGGTGAAAGTCGTGAAAGTAGCCTGGTTGAAAAACGGACACTTCAGCCATGCCTGTCACCTGCAAATCAGAGCCCAAGTCAAGCTCCACATAGGCCCCAGCCCCATCGCTCGCGCTCGCCTTCCAACCTAGAAACTGTCTGACAAAACGTCATAACAAATTTCGCAGGGAGTCACAAGTGCAAAAGCAAAATCTGCCCGGACCGAAGGTGCTCAGGGCGTGATCATCCGGATGGCATAAACAACTGTAAGGTACAGGTTTACCTGGGGGGGCCTATTTTTTTGCATTGTTTGTTTATTTTTTGCAGTGTTTTTGTACATTGCCGAGGCTTCAGTTCTCTGCGCAAAAATGTAAAAACACCTCGCAAATAGCAGTGTTTTTGGCGACCATGTTGTTGAAAACGTCGCAAGTTGCGGTGTTTTTTGACAGCAGGTTCAACAACACTGTAAATAGCGTTGTTTTGGGCCACGGCAAGCTCAAAAACATCGCTATTTGGAGTGGGGTCTGCCTCACAGAGCATAAAAACATTGTAAAATACGGCGCATAGTGGCGTTTTTGGCAACGTCAACCTCAAAAACCTCGCTATTCGCCGTTTTTGTTGGGCAACTGTTTCATGGCGGTGCGGGCGGACCTTGCCGCGGAGCGGCGTGAATACTTGTCCCATCTTATCTCCAGTTTGACTCTGACATGAAATTGCTTGCAAGTCTTTTGTCGGGCCTGTGGAACTCAAGCCGCACTTGTCTGCAGTCGTTGAATTGTCATGTGAGTAGCTGCATGCAGATTCATCCAGGTCAGTCGTTGAAGTGTCACAGATTTCGCCTGAATCGTCGTCCATCACGGTGACGCTAAACAAACGCTTCCGGCTTCGGAATGAGAAAAACAAAGGACGAACAAATGCAACATGAAAAATGTACGAATAGTCCAAGGTGCATTGCCCCTGATTCCATCGGAGCCGACCAGCTCGCACTACATGTGGATCTGGCCCGTACAAACCTCGCGCGCAAGCAAGCGAAAGCAGCAATCAAGCATGATCAAGCTGCCCAAACACACGGTATTCAACCTTCACACAAGCGAGCGAGCCCTCGTACATTATCCGATGATCAATCTAAGGAACGTATCGCATCCCGCACCATGAGAGTTTTGTTAATGACCTCGTCTGTCAAAGAGCAATGGTAGCTCACAGTGTAGTTCACCTGTGACATGGAATAGGCCACCACTCAATCAACCAAAAGCTATCTGCGGAAATTGGCGGAAATCTGCAAAAAGCCAAAACCCTAGTACTTCTGTGTCTTGGATTTGGCTATACAACCTTGAAGGTGGAACCTGCCTCGGTGCTGCCACCAGACGTTCCAAGAAAAAGCCGTGTGTCAGCAGACCAGTTGAAGTACTGATGCATGTCAGCGATCTCTGCGTTGAAGGTATCCTCGGCAATGTTGCCCAAACGGCGTTGACTGGGCGCAGCTAAGGAACCAGATCCAACAACATTAGGGCAAGTTTGCATCTAAGATGCTGCAGTATCGTAACACTGAGACACAGCATCACTCCAAACTCCGGCTTCACGTTGAACAATCCAATACCTTGAAAATGGTGCAGCGGAATCGGTGGAACAAGGACAAAGCGGGCAACCGTACACACTCAATAGCAGCTGAGGTTCAGGTCAGGGTTGATGTACATGCTTTCCACCACCTCAACTGTTCTGGTCAGTGTAGCCTCAGGGTTTGCACTGCTTTGCAAGTGATTGGTTCTTTACCTTGTTCAGGACCACTCAGTCGTTTTCACTGAGTTGCCAGAATGACATCTTCCGAATTTTGCATGCAATCATAGGTCAGGGTGTAGCTGCCCACTGTTGTGCGATCCACAGTGCCAGTTCGATTCACTGGGAGAGCGTCGTCGAACTGATCCGTACAGTTGGAGCCTGCATCCTCCCACTCATTGCTGTCCCTGGTGAGGTCAGGCCAGAAACAGCACCGAGGTCTCTTGAAAGGGCAACGGTGCACACATAGCTCCAACATTAATCCATAAATACTATAATAATACTACAAACTATTGTATAGATATCATGTCACAATGTGCCCGTGGATATGCTATGCGGCTATGCTGCTATGCTGTGTATGTGTCCCTGTCAGGGTGTCGTACCAAAAAGCCGAGACACAGTGCAACTGTTGGTGCCAAAGAGTCCAAAAGTTCAAAGCTGCCAAGAACTCGCCAAGTACAACAAAGGTTCTCAGTGCAGTTGCGAAAGCAGTAGCTGCGCCTCCTTGATGTGTACCTTAGTTGGCAGCTTGAAACTGGAAAGGGTTTGTGATCGAATGTTGAAACCACGGCCTCGAATCAAAGTCAGAAAATGTGCGAGGCGTTCGCTGGATCGATCGAGGGGCTTTGAGTCAATTGTGCAGTCCGCATCACTGCATGCCGGCCAAGCCTCGCAACACTCAGCATCGGAGCAGGTAGGGGTAGCGCAAACAACACGTCTTCTTCTCGAATTGCGCCGATAGCCTGCGCTACAGCTGTAGCTCAAGCACCAGTTGGTGTAGTTTAGCAGGTGCTCTGTTCCAATGGCCTCAGTGTAAAGCCTGGCTTGCTGCAAGCTGCCCGCCCATTGTCCTTGGCCGCCACCACCACCGTACTCGACAGTGCCATCTGATGGACTGAATGCAGAACAAGTGGAGTCTTCAAGCTGCCCGTTGACGTAGAATTCGGAGGTTTGTGCAGAAGCTGAATAGACAACCGCGACGTGATTCCAAGTGCCGTCAGTCTGAATACTGATTGTAGATTGGCAACTTGATCCATCAAGGCCATGTTCCAACTCCACTGTGTCGGTTCCGGTTTTGGTCACATACAAGTTCAGCCCACTCTGCTCACCCAACAAGGGGTACTTGTTGTTTGTCACTAGGCTGCTTGTATCCCAAAACGACCAGAAGGAATAATCCCTACCAAGCATTCCAAGGTTGTCCAGAGTGCCCATTGTGACTTTTGTGTTGTCCAGCTCTGCATCAAACTGGTAGCTTACTTGCGATGCCTCCTCATACACTTCCTTAGGCTGGCGCTGAGTCGAAAGTCAGCTAAACATTTTGTAGCTTTCCGAGAATCCCGACCCTGGCTGGAAACGCAACATGAATCATTCCTATGTGTGGCATGCAACAACTGGATACATATATTGCGAATGCACCTTTGTTTGACCAAGGGTGCCTTGAGGGTCCATCCATGTCCCGCAGCCTGTTTTGGGCACGAGGGCGTGGAGGGTGGGCCGAGGGCTCGTTGCATGGCTTGAGCGTGCAAGGCACGAAGACCTGCCACCAGATCGTTCTGGCAGTGGCGGTGCAAAAACAAGAGTTTAGCAAAGGTGCGCTGTTTGCAAGGGAGTTGAGGGACAGCGCAGGTGCGCTGTTTAATTGAATTCAGGTTGCATCCAAACCGTCCAAACCAGTGTGAAATCCACATTGCGGAGCCTCCCAAAAGGGGGGCTCCAGCGGACCTTTGGGATTGAAGAGATGGGTACAGAAGCTGCTGCCTCAGGTTAAGAAGGGACATCTTTTGTCCCGAACCAACTGGCAATTTTGGCGCCGCCTTTTGATCCAGCCCGTGATGACTTAGAGCAGTACACTAGCAAAGTTGAATTACTTGTGGAAGTTTGGCCTGCCAACAAGATCCCAGAGCTGATCACAAGGCTGATTTTGGCCACAACCGGAACCGCCTTCCAAAAGTTGAGCTTGCACAAGGCAGGCTTAGCAGTGGGGACAAGTCGCAAGTCAAAAAGCTGATAGCATTGCTTGGTGGACATTGGGGAAAGATTTCATTGGAACTCAAGTACGAAAGTGCTGAAAAGGCGTTGTTCCGATGCACCCAGCGTGCGGGCGATTCATATCTTGCACGCGCTGATGTGCCCTGGAGCGAACTGCTGTCCAAGAAGATGGACTTTCGCAATTGCAAGCGTATACAGTGTTGCGTGGATCCTCACTGAGCAGTGATGACAAGAGTCAAGAGGCGTGTTCTAGTGGAGGCTGATGTCCATGACTGCGGTACGCTGACCATGTCTCGTGTGTCCCAGGCAATCCGCACGCTTGCGCTTGGAGCCGGCTTCTTCATTGACCATGGAGGACATCACTGAGGAGGACTTTGAACAGCTCGCGAATGAAGGCGACGAGGACACTGCCTTAGTTGCTGAGTTCGAATCCGTGGCAGCTGAAGCATTGCAAGATGACTCGGATTTGGCACTCGCTCACACCACCTACATGGAGGCGAGAAAAAAGCTCTCCGATCGTTTTGGCCAAGCGGTCAGCAGTTCAAAGGGTTTCAATGCCGGAAAACGCTAATTTTTTCAGGAACGCATTATGGAGCAGCTGCTGACTGTGCGGGAAAAAGGGTCACTGGAAGGCCGAGTGTCCTGATCGCCACCGCGCATCCAGTGCATCATCGAACCTGCCTGCTGCACCGACCGTAGTGACCACAGGGGATGTCTCCGGCGCCCTCCCGTTGGAGTTCTTGACCTTGCCAGAGGTGCCTGGGGCACCATAGATGAGCCTTAGAGTCAGGAACAACTTTTTCTTTGCCAACCAATGAGGGTGAGGGGATTGTGAACAATGAGAGGGAAACCATTGTGGAAAGCAATCAAAACCATGAAAAGACCATGGCCACATGCAGGAATGGAGTCATGTTCGAGCCAGCCATCGCTCTGACCAGCACATGTCACGAAGAAGCAAGTGCCTGCACCTCATTTTCCACTTTCGGTGCCTTTGGAATCCTTGACACCGGAGCCACGAAGACGGTGATTGGCAGCCAATTCGTCGCTGCCGTCTTGAAGAGTTTGAAGCCAAGTGTTCGAGACGAGCAAGTGAAACGGTGTCCATGTCAGGTAACATTCAGGTTCGGCAACCACGGAACCCTGGAAAGTAAGCATGCCATGACGGTAGCGCCAATCGGACTCCTGTTTCTGAAGATTGCTATTGTGCCAGGACTCACAGCGTTTTTTGCTTTCGAATACACTTTTGCGTGCAATAGAGGCCGTAGTAGACACCACTCAAAGAAAGTCTACAGCCCCCTTCTCAAGAAGACCATCCCCATCGCAATGAATGAGAAGGGACTATATCTAATTGACCTCAACGATTTGGCCTCACCAGCGCATGATCCACAGAACCAATCCGAGACGTTCGTCACGTCCAATGTGAAAAATAACACGCTGCCAGGGTCCGTTGCGCTCCTTTCGAACACGAAAGAGCCTGCAAGTCATTTGAATAGGAATGATCAAGGTCAGGTCCCAGTCTAAGAGCCGCGTCAGTCAGCCTGAGCAGTTCAATCATGGACGCACGTCTGCTAGCTGCTGAACAGTCAGAGGCCCACAACTTGAAACCTCATGCGTTCGATGCACAGCAATCCGTGCAGATCGACCTGAGTCCAAACACTGTGCCCATCATGTCCGGAAACCTTCTTGCCCCTCATTCTATAGGTGGCTTGCCCCTGATTAGTTGCCTGCTTTTTTTCAGAAGTGAAAATATTGACGGGAACCTTGCCATTGATCCTATAAACTAACCAGAGGTGGCTTGCCCCTCATTCCAACAAGATGTGGCTTGCCCATCATTCCAACGAGAGGTGGCTTGCCCCTCATTCTATAGTTTCCCTGTTCCCAGTAATGAATATGTATTGTTACTGAATCCTGTGTGGCCTTGGCCATTTCAAAAAGTGGCTTTAAAGCAACAGATGCGCACTGGACCTGCTGAAGAAAACGAAAGTATTTTAATTCTCAATTTTTCTCTTCTTTTAATTCTCAAGAAAACGAAAGTATTTGAATTGTTTGACTCTCGGCACTGCATTTGCAACAACCTTTTTTGGAGACAAAGCAAGTGGCTGGCCCTTGCAAAGTCAGAGTGGCTTGCCCCCTGATTGAAGATTTCCCTGTTTACAGTGGCTTGCCCATGTCTAGGGAAGTTATCAAACCAAAAAAAGGTGTCAAATACGTGTTTTTAAATTGTCCACACAATTGCTTGAGTGGCTCTCTGGGCCATGTTGCACTTCTAAATTTAGTTGTTCTTGTTTTTGTTTCTTGAGTGGCTCATTGGGCCATTGATTGAGTGGGTCACAGGCCATTGCTTCGCCACCTGTCTGTCAAGTCCCTCATTCCATCTTGCTTCGCCACACTTTGCTTGAGTGCCTGCCGCGACGTGTGACGGTGACCTGTCTTGGTGGGCCCATGGCAGATGAGACTGGTGCGCTGTCTCGGGTGCTGGAGTTGGCCGAGGAGCCTACAGCGCCAGCTCCAACTGTTGCTGAAGCTGTTGATGCGGCTGTGGTTGGGGAAGCTCGACCCAAGCCAAGGGCTGCGACACAGCAAGGCTTCCTGAATGCTGTGGTTGGCATGGCTTACCTCTGGCATGCCATGGACGATGAGGTTGATGGCATGGCGGAGGACCAGGACCAGGAATCCTCTTCAATGGAAACAGTGGAGATTGAACCTGAGCCTGCCTACTTGGTCTCGCCTCGGAGAGTGGAGATTGAACCTGAGCCTGCCTGGGTCTCGCCTCGGAGGTCGGAGCCTGACCCTGGAAGCCAACCAGATCGGAGCCCTTCGCATGCTACTGGACCTGGAAGTCAACGCTCAGATGTCCAACCGAGCCCAGCAAAGGCCGAGGAGAAGAAGCTGGCCAAGCCGCGCCTGGTTTCCAAGCGCCCGGCTTCTGCGCTGAGAAAGCCGGCGGCCTCTGGCAAGAGACAACGCCTGGAACCCCTGCCGGAAGGGGTCGTTGCCGGCTGCTCAAAGTGCAAATACAAGGCCAGCGGGCGCTCGCGCTGCCGAAGCCGACTTGGCATCTGATTGACGAAAAGATGGCATCTTGCCCAGCAAAGTGTGTCCTGTTTCTTGTTTGAGTGTTTTTGTCCTGTGTCTTGGCTTGTGGGTTCTTGGTTTGGTGGAGTGGCTCTTTGGGCCATGCTGGCTCTCTGGGCCACGCTGCCAGGTTTGTTGGAGTGGCTCTCTGGGCCATATTGACATGACCAGTGGCTCTTTGGACATCTAGTGCCCTGAGAATTTTGCCCCTCCATCAGTTTTGGCTGCTCCAGCTGCCCTGCGCGACCCACTACCTCTGTGGGGACACTTTGCGATGGCCACCACACCAGTCGTTGGTGTTGAACGGATGTCTGAGTACATCTGCCCAGTGTTTGGCCCAGTCATCTGCAAGTATCAGCACAAGGCAACCAGTCGCAAGGAGGAGTGGATTGTGTTCCAGCCCATGACTGCCTGTGTGGGATTCCTTCGCTTGACCAAGCGGCATCTTGTCCTTTTATGGCTCACCGCCTTTTTATGTTTTTTGGTGCTGTGCCTTGGACATGAAAATATGAACAAAAATCAGTTTTTCAGGAAGCACCGTGCTTTTGATGCATGTGGTGCTTGGGAGATGACCTTTGAGGACAAGGGCCTGCCGACAGTTCATCTGTATGCACAGCATCCAACAGTGAAGAAATGGGATTTGAACTTCGTCTTTGATGAGGTTGATGAACCATGGCATGTGTATAAAAAGAGTAAGTTTTGAATTGTTGTTTTTCACCTTTTCTGTGGTGTCGCTGCCTGTGATGCGCTTTGACAGCCAGCTAAGGGCATCTTCAGAAGCCACCATGAAGGAACAATTCGCGAATTCTATGTGGCGCAAGCGCCGGAGCAAAGCACTTTTTTGCACCCTTCACTGCTTCAGGATTCGGTAGTTCCGATTGCAGAGTTGGAAGATGGCTCTGATGATCGAAGCAGTTCAGAGCTGGCTCTGATGATCGAAAGAGTCCAAAACAGTGGTTGGATGCTGGTTTTGATGATGACCCTCACAGCAAGGTCATTGAATTCTGAAAGGCCATGAGAGTCATGGGAATCCATTTTCCCAGTGCCACGACCTTAAACTGTATTTTCACTCCCTGTAATATGTACACTTTTACCATGCACATATGTATAGGATGTCTTTGCACTTCACTTCTGCAGCTCGCGGTCCAAAAAGGGTATCGTAGCTTAGCGGCTGTTTCTATCGCTGTGCCAGCCGGTCTCGCGACTGAGCCCCGTGT